CTTGTCCTGCCAGCTCTCGAAGTTCTCGCTATTGACATCAAGATCAGTTCGGTAGTTGAAGACGGAGGACACAACATTGCCGACCAGATCCTCTAGTGTTTCGTTCTTGGTCTCAAGCACACGTGGTACACCCGCGGCAGCTTCAGAGAACTTTCGGTTCAAGATCTCTGTAGTTTCGAAGGCGCGGTAGCGGTCGGCAGCCGCGTGGTCAATCTCTTGCGGGAATAGCAGCTTGTACAGATCGTAGCCGAGCAAGATGGTGCCTCCGCCGTTGGCTGAAACGTCAACCACGAGCTTCTTCTTCCCGGCGGACTTGGCCTGGGCAAGGAACTTGGCAGCAGTATCTTGGAACCCTTCCTGTGCGTTGTCAATTCCGACGAAAGATGGCACGGAAAGTACGGCAACGTCTGAGTAGTCACCCTCGAGGAAGTAGCCACCAATCAAGTTGTGTGCTTCACGAAGGACTGGAGGCGGGTATCCTGGCGCAGGGATGGTTGGAAGAGGCGTAGCGGAGGTAGTGGCAGAGGGTGTAGGTGTAGCCGAGGTAGTGTTGGAAGCTTCGGTTTCGCTTCCAGGCTGGTTGCCCGTGAACCAGAGCTTGTAGAGGCTCTCTCCGTCGGTAATACCGTCAAAGGGGATCAGAACCTTGGCGAAGTTGTCATAAGTTCGGCTGGTACCGTTTTCGAACGTAAGCTCGGTGGTAGGACCGGGGTAAATCCAGCGACCGCGGCCCGATCCCGCGAAGGTTCCAATACCAGATCCAACCGGGCCGAGAGATACAGTGGCGAGCTCGTAGAAGACGTTGTTGTACAACGCGTCTCGGTCCTGGAGGGAACCGTACTGAGCCCAGTTCTCCAGGAAGTCCTTGGCATCCTCGCCATCGATGTGGGTAATGGGCGAAGGCGTGAACGTAGCATTGCCGAAAGATTCGGCCAAGACATCAGCATAGACGTAAGGCCGGGGAAGATCCTTTCCGTCGCTCGAAACGGAAACGAGTGGTACAGGACGGGCGAAGTTGAAAACCGTGCCGACTACATCGGGGACGTACACAAAGTGACCGTCATGGGTGCTTTGCAAGAGGGTGTAGAGCTCGAAACCGAACTGTTCTGAATCAGTTCATATTCTTCATAACGAGGAGAGAGACACCTTACTTCGTACTCGTTCTTGTACTCTCCTCCCTTGACCTTTTCCCTGATTTCCTCGAGTTCGCCCCAGATATCAACCGCTGGCTGTACCTTCTCGGCGTATTCAGCTGGAGGGTCTTTCAACCAGACGGTGTTACTTTGCCATTTGAAGTATGGAACGACACCGTCTACCAGGGCAAGAGCAGCGCTCTGGTTGAATGGGACGGAGTTGATGCAGTCCCATGCGAGTTCGGCGGGTACAGTTGCGGTGCCTGCAGTGACATTCTTGCCTACAATGGCAGTGCCGACTTGTGCGCAGGGACTTGTCGCGTTGTAGTGCCGCGTATGAATGTGAGGTGCGACAGGCGACGATAGCGCGACTGAGGCTAGCGAGAGACCCGCAACGGCATTGAAGAGGGAAGCCATGCTTTCAACCCAGACAACACGACAGGAACTGGAGGCAAAGATCTCAGGTTCGCCGTACCCTCGCTGCAGTCGCACGAGCTATACCACTTTATAGCTGCACAGCTTGAACCGCGGACCAGGTAGCGAACTTGCGCGTTCCCGAGAAAGAAGACATCATAGCTGCAGGAGCTACCCTGTACTTGTCATTGCTAGACCCATGTAGAACAAGGCAAAGGACGGTCGGGCGAATAGGCGAGGCGGATATGATAGGGAACTAGATTAAGAGCATGCATGCACGTATGCTCGAAGAGGAAGGCCGTGGTGTGCTTGGTACTCTGAACGATTGACGATCGTATCCCGAACGGCATTGGGGGTTCAGGGCAATACAGGTACCCAAGGACCCAGGGTCGCTTTGATGGTAGAGTGCCCACAATTATGGATGCATCTCGGTGCAATGGTAATGATTACTAGGTAAGAGATTGGACAGTCGGCCGCTGTAACACTGACCGCGAAGCTTCGTGGAGTTGTCGAAGCTTCACAAGCCTCAGGCGCTAGCCCGCCTTTCTACGCTAGATTAGGCAGGCGCAAAGTGCGCGGTGCCGATGCGTCCTATCGAGCATTCGAGCATTAATCCCCGCTCTTGCGATATCAGCTTCCGAAAGCGCATTGGGTCTACGGGAATCATGACGTACGACGGAGCTGCAGTGCTTTTGTGTGGCTAGTGCTATGCAGTGCCAATCTTCAGGACGAAGTACATGGGTGGCGTGAGGCACATTGGAGGCTGAACCGAGGGACTGGTAATTACTCCGCAAGATATCCATGGACAACAGGAACACGAAATTGCTGACAGGATCATCCCGCTAAATTTCCGAACACTGACAGCTGTTACATCTACATCGTAAGACCATACAGCCTTATAGAAAGTCAACTAATCACCATTTCAAACTAATCATCATATCAAACTAATCACCATATAGTCCGAAAGTCTACATGCCAGTCGTTATACCTTGCATCGCTGCACTTAGCAGACGGCTTGCGTGTTGATTTTGAGAAGTGTTGAAGTAGACACGGGCTTGGTAACACCGCAGCCCGCCTTTCACACATTGATGCGTGCACAGATGAGTAATCTGATCGAGGCACAATGAAACATGAGACGCGGTCGAACGGGTTCAAGCCACATTCCCACATTCATCTTCTATCGCCCAGGCCAGTTCATGTGATCAAAGGGCAACCACAGAAAGAGCATCATGGGACATCAACTCCTGCCAATTCACTACAGCGATCAGAGCATACCATAGAGGGACTCAACAGCGAATTATGAAAAGATGCCAATCTTTTCGCGGCATTCTCGCTACTACGAGCATCCTTTGGTCAATGGATGGAGGATGACCAGAGCGATGGACCCAAATGGATCGTAAGATGCCATTCATTAGTTCATGAAAACCATTTGCGGCATTGCGCAATATATCAAGATCTAAGCTATCTATAGCATTAACAAGGCGGTGTACTAGTTGTTCAACAGGCAAGCTGCTTGACATTCACCCTATGTTTGGTGGAAGACCTTTGTCCAGAACAAAGCCCGAAAAGAGAGTGTGAGGGCAAATTCCTTGCCAAAATCTTTACCTGAATGCATATATACTGCTACTGTGTCTCTATCTGGGCATTGGCGCCCAGCAGAAGCCACGGTAGAGACTATATACTCGATGACAAGCTTTCAGTCTTCACCCTCAACGCCCGGCATTGTCTTATATATACTGTCGCATTACCTACGTCCAGCGTCCAAATGTGTGAAATGGCGGCTTACGTGGTGAACCACATCCTGGTGAACCACATCCCACACGATGGTGTGTGAAATACGCGCAGTCACACTGTATGCGAGCGATGTCCCTTCGTCCTCAAAAGGCCGGAAAATCCGTCAATACATTGGATTATTCCTCGCCATCCATCGGTGTACAACGCAGTTGAACAGTACCGCACTGTGAGCCAGGCCTCTGTCAATATGAACCACCCTCCAGCACAGTCGCGCGAGCAGTACTTTGTGAGCCACATCAAGCCGTCGCCCCCTTCAGACGACCCGGCATGTCCCATCTGCAGAGATCCCTGGAGTCCCGATACGTATACCATCATTCGGACGATATGCAGCCATATCTTCCATCGGTCGTGTCTAGATCGATGGCTAAATGAGGAAGACGGTCAGAACACATGTCCAACCTGTCGTGCAGTTTGCTTTTTCCTACCCCGAGCACAGGAGACCGTGGTTCAAACCGTAAGCCCTAATGTCGACCACGGATTTGATCCGGGGCTTGGGGCTGACTCAGGTTATCTGACCACCGCTGTCTTCGCTCTCATGGCTACAACGATCCAAGATATGCTTGGGCCGCTTACAGAAATCGAAAATATCCGCATGCAGTTTGGCATTGATCTCGAAGATTCCAACGATCCGCTGCAGTTTCTTCAGGCAATGAAAACCGTCGTCCATGCAGGTGTACTACTGGGTCGGTTTCCGCCAAATCTTCAGCAAGGCTGGATGCCCATGCTGAGGCTCCGCCTCGGAGACTGGCAGACTATTAAATTCCTGATAGCGTCACTTTTCATCTCTGCGCAGTGGCGACTGATGACCCCAGGGCAGTGGGCCAGCGTACTTGCCGAACGAAATCGGATTGGGCGTGCTGCATCTGACTCGGCAGACTTTGGACCATCCAGGGACTCTTGGATAGAGTATATTAACAACCGTTACAATGCCGAGTATGGGATCGCGATTGACGTCTACTTTCCAGGCGCCAGAATTACACGCTGGAGGGAGACTAATTCGACTGGCCAAATAGTCAATGAAGATGAGCTGGACTTAACCACGATCGACACCACTCTGGCGACCAACATCAACGTTCCGGGTACAGACTTCAGTCCAGGGCCTCTACTGTACTTCCAGGGTAACTCACTCTGGATCTCGGAACGCGTGATGGGCAACATTGTAGAGTTGAGCATCGACAGGACCTCGCGTACTGTATATATGCGTAGCTCCGCAAATCGCGAGTTCAGGGTAGAGTTCCCTCCCCATGGGATACAGGAAGACGCTTGTTTGCCACCAGTTACGACGAACATGATAAGGCGCGGTGGAGGGCTGTTCCGTTATGGGTTCTGTTGAAAAGCTTGTAGAAACAAGTGGAGCGGATTCATGGTATGTTGTCACGGGTTGTACGAGAACGAGCTGTTGTCGCTGCCGCGCTAAAAGCTGCCCCACCCGCGTGGGAGCTTCCAGGTTGCGTCGCGTCGCTCATCCATGGATCGCATCTCCACTTCAGATTTTGGCACCCTTGGTCACAAGCAGGGCTATGAGCGCTCTTACTTTTAGATTTTCTGCCTCTCGCTCATAGCGTCTACACAAAAATGCGATAGTCTAAAACGACGAATCCACCCATTTCTACCTGACGTATAGCGGACCTATCTGTGACACACTGCAACATAGACAAGATGAAATATAGCGGGTAATCCTTCTCCTTCCACACACCTGATATTGGCAAAGAATTAATCATGTAGGCTATATTTCGTCTCCAACCCCTCCACCAACATCGACGCCTCTCTCGCAATCGTGAACACCCTCATCCAAGGCATCGAAACCAGCTTCCCAAACACCACGCGACAGCAAACACCATGGTCGCTATCATACCGCGCATTTCGCGATACCATTCCTCCGGGCTACCAGCCACCTGCGGGCGCAGACGGTAAACCAGAGCCATACGTACATTCATACCAGCACCTCCTCCACCTTTCGAGCCTCGCACCGAACCGCACATATGTCTTTGCACAACCGCGAGCGCAACAGGAAACTATGACGTCGATACCGCTGCGACAACAAGACGCACATGCCTCAGTACTGCGATACCAGTGTTCCGCTCTGTGGACACCTAGACACATACTCGCGGTGCGAGAGGGGGCAGCATATAGCGGGGGCCTCTGTTCGATACAAATCGGCGAGCTACGAGCGACTCGTGAAGGACCGCAGTCGGGCGCTATCTCATCACCCGGCGTCGTGATCTGCATTAGCACAACGTTGGGCGCTGAGGACACGGATGGCAACATGGATTCCGGCTATGGCACAATGGAGAATGGTGCAGCGATGCAGGTGGACGAAGAAGATCTCGACATTGAGTATGCGCAGGCTGTGGTGCGCGACTGCTGGAGTAGGATCAAGGATGGCCGCGATCTGGGCCGGTCAGAGATCAGGGAAGTGATGATGGCTTCGACTACAACAAATAAAAAGGGCCAGGAACCGGAGGCGGCGGTGCGCATGTGGTGCGATGCTCTGCGCATGCGCGGATGAGCGAATGTTTGCACACCATTTATCATCATATACCCAATGCGAGAACTTGAGCTGGACATGTAGCAGCAGATGTGACACGACACGCACTCATAGAGCGTAGCATGCAAGTGAATCATGGATAGTTTTATAGTTTGATTGACTATATGCCAGGCCTACCCTGCCTAGACACTCATACGACCGTCTAGTCTCATTGCCTCCTACCAAATCCCTAGGTATCCCTACAGGTATCTAAACTACAACAACGTAAAGGGCAAAGAAAGAAAAAAGAAAGCGAAGGTGGTAAGGTCAAGTATTAAGGCAACATCTTGCGCACATTCAGATTACAACACATAGTTGAAGATCGATCCCCAAAGCTTGATCAGCTCGCGCCATAACCCTAGACCGGACATATGCAAAAGGAAATTTCTGGGAAGGCGAAAGAAGGGAGTAGTAATAACCAGCCAGTAGATGAAGGATAAGTATCGCACAATGAAGAAGATACACGACATCCAGGTAAGGCTTACTGCGCACCAACCTCTTCTTCTGCCCAGCCAGGAAGACCACCGTCGCCCTGGATGGCAAGACCGTAACCGCCGTTGCCACTGCCGAAACCACCGATGCCGGAGCTTAGGCTACCGAAAGAGCCCTGCTGAGGTGCTTGGGTTTGCTGCATGGAGTGGTTGAAGGGGCCCTGAGTGAAAGCGGGCAGGCTCACAGCGCGAGAGTGTTGACCACGCGAGTTGAGGTTCGAAGGTGCGAGGAGGCCACCAACAGTAGTAGCACCTGAGCCACCAGCTGACGTACCGTTAATCAGACTGAAGCTCGATGTGCTTTGATGGGAGCTGTGAGAGTGGTGTGGCTGAGGAGTGTTCAGGTCGGCACTGTAGAAAGCAGCTTGCGGCGACTGGAAAGATTGCTGCTGGTTCTGCTGCTGCTGTTGCTGCTGCTGTTGTTGTTGCATGCTGGCCTCGACCTGTTGTTGTTGTTGCTGCTGTTGCTGAGCTTGTAGGTACATCATGAGGGGGTTGTTGTTGCCGGAGTTCATGATGTTACCTGAAGCAGGTGCTTGAACGGAAGGGAACTGGCCGTTGGTGCTTTGGCCAGAGCCTGGTGCGCCAGAGCCAGTCGGCGAGACTGAAGCACCAGCACGGTTAGGATGCAGTCCGTTGATAGGCGATGGTGACTGGAGACCATCGCTACCGGCTTGCTGAGCCTGGGCCTGCTGGCTGTTCATCTGGCGAGGAGGGTTACCGCATCGGTCCTTTCCGAAGTTGACCTTGAATCGCTTGTATTCGTCACGGCCACGGATCGCTTCAATTGCCTTAATGGCATTGGCAATGTTGGTGAAGTTGACGAATGCACAGCTCTTCTCGCGCAGGGTGTTGACCAGCTCGATCTCGCCGTACTCCGAGAAATCCTGCCTTAAGCGGTCTTCGGTCCAGGACTCATCTAGGTTGCCGATGTAGACGTTACGTGAGGCACCACCACTGACAGCAAGGGCAATCGCAGGCGGGAGAGCACCCGAGTGCTTACCCCATCCGATCTTCAAGCGACGGTTGTGGATCATAAGCCCCTGGAGATTGCTAAGAGCGTAGAAGGACGCAGCCGACGTCGGGTCGATGAAAGTAACGAAGCAAATGTGCTTATCCGGGATATACCTGATGTGGTGAAGAAGACCACCGCGCACAACATTGCAGATCTCCTCGATGGTGGTTTCGGGATGAATGTTACCTAGGTAAACTGTTCGGTTACCCAAGTTATTCACACCACCAGCAGAGGTCGCGACCGCCGCGGCAGCGACAGATTGCTGAGCAAGAGCATTGGAGATCATGTCGCGGTCAGCACCGTTCAGAACATGAGCGTAGCCAGGCGCGATACCCAGGTACTGCGCGGCGTTCTGCTGCTGGGTCTTGGAAACGTAAGCGCATCGATCCTTGCCGTAGTATACGCGCCTAGGCGCTTGCCACTTTGGCTCCTGGGGAAGTTGAGACACAGCCTTGATGGCATTTCCGATGGACAAGAAGTGAACAAAACCAATAGCCTTTTCCCGAACGATCTTGACGGTATCAATGGGACCAAATTTGCTGAGGTCTTCGCGGAGTTCGTCCTCAGAAACATCCTCGGACAGGTTACCTAGGTAGACGTTGCGAGAGGCACCCGATTGCTGCACAGCCAAGGCCACAGATGTGGGAACCTGGGACGGCTTTCCCCATCCAATCTTGATGTCCTGACCCCTGATTGACAGCTTCTTCAGAATGGCGTCAGAGTGGAAGTGAGTGGCGGAGCTGCTGTCCAGGAAGGAGATGAATGCGCAGTTCTTGTCTGGGAGAAGCCTGACGGACTCGATTTGTCCACTGCGTACATGGCCGAGGATCTCCTCCGCAGAGGTCTCAGGGGGGATGTTGCCCAGGTATACAGTCCTGCTAGTTCCAGATACAAGACCGGGAGCAATCGGCATTGAGGAGCCGAGTCCACCGAGACCCTGCGCGCCGTAACCAGGGAAACCTCCAGTAGGTGACTGGGGTCCACCAAAAAAGCCACTAGTGGGAGAAACCATGTTCTGGTACAGCTGGGGCGAAAGAGGCTGTTGCAAGGGGCTTCCCATCTGGTTGTTCTGGTGGTTCTGTTGCTGAGACTGATTCTGGCCAGCGAACTGTGCGAAGTTCTGAAACTGCGGGGAAGCGAAAGCCGAGGGCGAGCCTGGCTGGAAGGGGCTACCGAGGAGCAACTGCGAAGGGAGCAGAGGGGTGAAGTTCATGTCGAAACCAGTTCCTGGAGTCTGCAAATCGTTGCCGTTCTGGTTGCCAGGGTTGAGTCTGCCGGTATTGATGGACATGTTGTTCGCCCTCTCCGGGTGTCGGTCGCCATAGCCGGGCTGGTTCGTAGCGAAGGCGCCGTGCGAGAAGCCGTGGTGACCGCCGTTCATCTGCCTGTGGAAGCTCGACTGGAGACGAGGACCGCTGGGGGCGTTCGGGGCGCCGTCGTGTTGCTGCATACCGAGGAGGTGCGGAGGCAGACTGAAGCTGTCCCGCGCGTTTTGAGATAGAACCGCCGTGGTGAAGGTGTATTACTGCGTCCGGGACTCGTTGGACCGGACGGCGAAATATGTATGGCAGAAGGTGAAGTTGCAACCGGTTGCAGAGAGGTCGCCGGGCTTGCGAAGATGCTGCTGTATTACAAGATGTAGAGCGTTCTAGAGGGCATTAGTTTGAGGGCAGTGGAGACGCATTGGACAAGACGTACTTCCAAAAGCACAATGGCAACGAGTCGTTTGCAGGTCTAACAATACAAGACACGCTCACAACGCAGGCAATCGGGGCCTAAAGGATGCAGGCACAGAGGTCCAGAAGGGTACTGTCGCAGGCTTGCACGGTGGACGCAGTGGAGGCGCAATTAAATGCCGTGGGCCAGAGCTGCCGAAGAACAAACTCGCGTGGCTTGTTTGAGGATGCGTGCACCAAAAGAGCGAACAATAAGAATGAAGTGCAAAGAAGCAAGCTTTGCCGGGAGCCTCGATGCGGGGAGAAGAGGACAGAATGAACGAAGGGGATCGAAGAAGAGGGATGCGACCTGAAGTCGGAGCGGAGGAGAGAAGAAAGAGGTCGGTGAGAAATGCTAACTAGCAGGGCACATTAGGAGGCATCCGCAAATGAGGCAGCCCAAAGCGGACAACTAGCGCACCGCCCATTTTAAACGCGCAGGCCACGTCTGAATCGTGCAAACCACCGTCGCCACGAACCGCTGCCCTGCAGTTCTCTGGCCCCGTAGACGCCTGTGCTAGGCGGCGTGGTATTTCGTGCAGCGACGCGCCCCCGTGCCTGGCGTAGACGGCCTTGTGCTACCAACGGCGCAGCTCGGTATCCTCCAGCGCGGCCAACGGGTAATTGCAGATATGCACACCGTCCCTGACTAGACGAGCCGCCTGATAGTGCTGCTCTTAAGACGGGTCCCTTTTTTCCCTTTGTCACGCGAACACGAAAGGGTCCAGATCGTATTGCGGCGGCTCCAGTTCCAGGCGTAAGGATAGCCCTTAGTGCCAGCCTGCCCATCGCCGCGTCTCAGCAAGCCGTACTGAGCGTTTCCGTCTGGTCTGGCTCCGGGGTATACTACTGCGAGCGTTCGCCAGGTGTGGAACAAACACGGAGCGCTCCGTCTTCGGGGTATCAGATGTCAAACGCCATCATGCGAAACCTCCACGTGTGTCATGCTCACCCCTGGGGGTTTGCTGACTTCTAGAATGACGTTTGCGTATTCTGCTGTTTCCAAGGTTGACGTGTTCTGTACATACGCGACCACGGATGCTGGACGACAGGGATTATCCATAAGCGAGCACGTGACGCCCAACTACGAGCGACTGCAGGTGGTCAATCTGTGCTTTCCGGCGATCGTGCATCAACCCGCTGTCAATTATCCCATGGCACAGCTGTCTCCGTCCATTGCGCAGTGCGCCGTCGTGGCTACGGCGCTCAAGGTGCTGCTTTTCCCTGCTTAGTATGTCTCGCTGCACAATTCTGAAGTTTAGTTCCTCGTCTTTGCTGACCATCTCCGGCAGTAAGTCGACCGACTTCGAGGTTCATCGTAACTGGCTTGCTCTAACGCATTCCCTACCCATCAAGGAGTGGTATTACGAAGTCAGACAACCATGCCGTCAACGCCACGCAATTGTTCCAGCCTAACACACTCCAGAAAACGTCTGAATGGACCTTGGACTATCCGCCGTTCTTCGCTTACTTTGAATGGCTAATGTCTCAAGCTGCACCCTATGTTGATCCTGGCCTGCTCAATGTAAAAGATCTTGGATACAACAGCTGGCAGACCGTATACTTCCAGCGTACTACAGTCATTTTAACCGAGCTCGTCTTGGTCTACGCTTTGCACCTGTACTTACACACCACCCTATTTGATCTGTCCGTTACTAAATGCTCGCCAGCTATGTGAAGACCTCAAAGTCCAAAGTCACTGCTCACGCCGCTGCACTCTCTGTCCTATTGTCACCAGGACTGCTGATAATCGATCACATC